CGGGAATGACGACGGAAGAACATCATCAGAAACGTCTCGAGGAATTAGAGATGTTAGATAAGAGGCGCTTGGAAGCTCAACAGAAGATCGAGTTTTATCAAGCTAGAATTTCTCGGGCTTTCGATAAAAGGGTCCGACGATGAAATTTTAAAGAAGGGGATCTGGTTCTTGCCGTCCGAAGACCTATGATTCTCACCTCTAAGAAGAAAGGCAAATTTGAACCTAAATGGGAAGGACCGTTTGTGATAGAAACAATATATTCAAACGGTGCATATCGTCTGATTACTCAGGATGGCAACAAATTGATGATGCCAATAAATAGGAAGTTCCTGAAAAAGTATTATCCGTAATACGTTCAGGATAACCTATGTAAAATGGGAAGTTCCTAGAGAATCCTGTATAGGATATTTCAGGATAACCCGATATCAGTTGATTATTCTAAATGAAAACTGATTATGTGAATAATCTGTTCTTAATTGTTATGGAAATGATTAAGATCCTCTTACTATTTTTGTTGAGATGAGACTTAACGACAGCTGTTCTTAATTGTTATGGAAATGATTAAGATCCTCTTACTATTTTTGTTGAGATGAGACTTAACGACAGTTAATCTTTCCTCACAAAACCCTATAGCGTGATCATGGAAGAGGAGATTCGATGATTCATAATCTCGCACCATGAAACCCACACTGTGCATAAGCCTTTAACACTCCCGCTATTGAAGCACTAACACGACATCCAAAATTTCAATCAACTAATCCATAGCAATTACAAAACCCCCTCGCGCTGAGTCTTCATCGCTTGGCACCAAAAACTCCCACTAGGTGTTGTGTACAAGTTAACATTCCCATTATTATTTGTACCCCGCTCCCACTTCTCACTCGGTCAAACCTTTAAACAGTTAGGACCACAACCAAAATCCCCTCTCGATTCCATCCATGAACGAGAGGTCCACAAATTGAACGATCAAACCTTTAAACAGTTAGGATCGTCTCAAAACTCCCACTTGGTCAAACCTTACTACAGTTAGGACCACAATCAAAATCCCCTTTCGATTCATTTCACGAACGAGAGGTCTACTTTTGAATTGAATAATCAAACCTTATGACAGTCAGGATTATTCAAACCAGTCCAGATTCTCTAAGTAGAAATCCCACTTTGAGTTTCCTTTGCACCAGGAGATAGAATATAAAATTCTTCCTCTCCGATTCCGGGTTTATCTCTACCAACAAACAAGAGACCAGGAGATAGAATATAAAATTCTTCCTCTCCGATTCTGGGTTTATCTCTACCAACAAACAAGAGATCAGGAGATAGAATATAAAATTCTTCCTCTCCAATTTCGGGTTATCTCTACCAACAAACAAGAGATTAGGAGATAGTGTAGGCGTTAAAAATTGCCCATAGGTCCTCAAACACAGTGCAAGACAAGGAAAAGACGATAAACGTTATTATCCAAGTCAAAGGAATTCATCCCAAACATGGGTAAATCGGCGAAGCGACGAAGCGTACGCAAAACGAGGAAACCGGAAGAATCACGAAACATTGCTTAGAAGCTTGAACAGTGCCGAGTCATCAAAAGCTGACTCGCACATTGCCGAGTCACCAGGAGCTGACTCGCACAGTACCGAGTCACCAGGAGCTGACTCGCACAGTACCGAGTCACCAGGAGCTGACTCGCACAGTACCGAGTCACCAGGAGCTGACTCGCACAGTACCGAGTCACCAGGAGCTGACTCGCACAGTACCGAGTCACCAGGAGCTGACTCGCTTTCAAGGGGATCGGAGATCTGAGATTAAGAAGGCGAGGTGCTGTCAAATTGACCAGTCAACCACGAATTTCAGAGGAGAATCATCAGAGCTTGGCGAACGCTTTCATAAAGAAAGCCCCTTCGAAAGGTTTGTGATTCTTTTCCCTTCTTTCCTCCGGATTAAACTTGGTTTTAATCTCGAGAAGAGCCACAATCTCGCTTGGTCGTGATTGTCGCTTCCGTAATTGTTTCCCTCGTGAAACAAGAGCATAATTATATTGTCGATCTGCGGTGGTCCACGGATTAACCCCGACACAGGCAAAGATCCCATGCAAAGCAGCGGGAGATAAACTACTGCTGCGTTTTGTTTGATAAAGTTGTAATCTTTATTTTTCATTGTAAGAAGATCTTATAAAAAGATCAACTTTTCTTTCATCAGTTTGAACTTGTAATCGATAAACGGTGTAACAGGTTTGAAAACAATGAAAAAGGCAACTTTTGACACAAACAAACTGGCGACCACAGTGGGAGCCGACAGCTTTTCTGCAAAAGCTGTAGTGTCGCAACCAAAGATCGTCATACCGATCAACGAGGAGGTCGAGTACGACCAAGCAAAATATGAAGAGTACTTATCCTCCTCTTCCCGATCATTCTCCCCTCGTAGGAATAGGAGAAACTCCACAAGGAAAGGTCGAGGACATTTGGATTTGAAGGTTCAAAATCAAGAACCTCATCCCGCAGCGGTTCAAAAGACTCCTTGTGAAGCTGAAGCTACCAAGGCCGAACCAACTTTATCCAAGAGGGCGCGTCAAAGACGGCGTCAACGCCTAGCACGCCAATTGGCCAAGGCCTCCGAGCCGGTGGATGGAATCCGCTACGAAGCGGATCTGAAGTCTAGAGGACGCCAACAGGCACAGCAGCGACTTAGCGATTGGTCTAAACCAACGACAAATGAATGGGTCCCCGTTAAGAGGACACGTTCCACTCTTAAAGAACGAACCGAGAAGCGCCACGCTTTACTTGCGCACGCAAGAATCCTGGTACAAGAGGCCGAGAAACTACAAACAAGTACTGTAGATTTTAAACTGACGAAACCACGACAAATCTGGAGGCAAAAATCCAGAACAAAGCCCGAAAAAACCGAGGCACATGCTGCTGGCTCGGCCAAGGCCGAGTCACC